GGAATGCCGAGATATTCGTCATTTGAAGAAATGAATTTAATGAATTGAATATACAGCATCGACAGTGTAATATCGTTTGTTTTGACAAAAGTAACAATTAATGCAACTGTTTACATATCATTTGCATATGGAACATTCGGTATTCAATGTATTTTAATTAATTTCACCGCAAGATCAATGTTGGATAAAAATATAATTATGCGACTCTCTTTCTCTCTCTATATTTTCTCCCTCTGCTTTAAATTATAACAGAATATAATTTGTGATAGGAAGTGGAAGAGGATTGTAACTTCTCACAAAGGAAAAATAATTTGCGAAAAAGACAGCAATAGTTCAGTTTTCGTAGAAATACGTAAATTTATTAGAACATTTACAGCCTTCTCATCGATTTGTCGCTCTTTTCACATACACACATTCTCTCTCTCTCTCTCTCTCTCTCTCTCTCTCTCTCTCTCACACACACACACACACACTTGTACTTACACATACACACATATACAATCTATCTTTTTCTCTCTTTCTTTCTAACAACAATTTTCTCCTTTCACATCTACTTCTTTCACTCGCCCATTCACTCTTCTTGTGTCATTTGATCTCTCGAGAGTTGGGCGACGTATATTTATCAGACATGGGCAGATTCGATTGAGAATGACGCCGAAGAGTTGAAAGTACAATCAAAGATTCGGCATAATTTATAATACACTTTTCGAGAAATCTATCGCGCGCCAATTCTCGCGAATAAACATAGAGATCGTCATTTTCATATATCTGTATCACCGAAGCCTGAACCTTATTGAAATTATTAATTAATAAGTTTCGATTCCTGAACAAGGTCGTTATATGTCGTAGCGACAGATGGACTAAAAAGACTCTCTCTCTCTCTCTCTCTCTTTCTCTCTCTCAGAAAGGCGGTACAGCGGCCCAAGGGACAGTGAAAACGTGTTAAACATGAGATTTCATAATTTCGAGATTTGCATGTCGCGCGTGCCCCGCCTTGAGAGTCCTCTTTGCAGGATTCGTTTCCTCCTATACTTCGTTCCCTCTTCGAACGACGTACTCTCGTCAGCAGGAAAGTCTGGGATCGACCGCAATAATTTCGCAAAAAAACTTCTCGAATCACATCATGAAATTATATTATTAAGATCTCGATATCTTTATGGAAGAGATTCACCTTGCATTGTTCTGCAAAAGAATTTAGATTTTATCTTATATTACTTACTGGAATATTCTCGTGCGAGTATTATATTTATTATATTATATTACGATCGAACCCAGATTCTTATACACAAAAATATTTGTTAGCGAAGAGAGTTCGGTTGCAAATTTGGAACGTAATTTTATTTTATTGTGATTTCGAAACCACAAATTCATTATTTATGAGAGAAGAATGAGAAAACATTAATTTTAAGCAAAAATAGAAATTTCTTTTTATTAAATCATAATATGTAAAATTTTGACATCTATCAAATAAAGAATGAAAACAAAAATTAGAGCAGGGAATTAACCTAATAGATGCACGATAAATGTAATCGTAGCGGTGATAATAATATAATGGTGATAACAATAATTAGCGATCTTCCGTGACGCGCAATCCATTATTTACAGATGTACAATAGGTTGGTGCGTATTTCAAAAGCATTCAGCGATGTTCAATTTTATTAGAAGTTTTCTAATTCGCATTATTAGAAAAGTTCCAATTCTGATTTCATTGTTTTTCTTTTTGCCAAAAATGACAGAAGGTCAACGTTTCGTTACAGACGCATCTTATTCCATGGCAACTTTTAAGATCACGTTATTAATTTTTGTCTTGCAGCGCATTTGTTTAAGGTCTAAGTGATATCAACGATCGGATTCAATAAAAATTCATGAAAGAAAGTTAGATAGGCAGCACGTAAGTATGAGCCAGACGAAAAAATCAGCGAAAATACGAGCCATTATCTAAATTTCCAAACATTTCGACTTTCAGTAAACCGCCAATTTTCAATGATAGCAGACAAGATTTTACTTTCTCTCTTCGATATTAGTAAAATTATACGCGGCTTTCATATTCATATACTGAAGTAGCGCTGCAAATGACCTATCGAATTACATTACCAATAAAATACGTCGTTTACATGAAGTCGTCGCGAGATTCCTGTCACACACGCTCGCCTGTGTTCCTGCGTTGCATTAATTATGAAGTTTTTTTTTCAAGTCAACAACGCAACCTAAGTTGCTCGATCGTCTTGACTTAGCCCTTTGCACTCAGATGTTGACTTGTAGAAATTGCACCAACGTACTCGTATGTACAACGTTAGAGCAAATTCTGTGTCGCTTGATTTCTCACAGGTTTAATTTCAGTTATTATATGATGAGTAAGAAGTCAATGGATTCGCGCTATTGGAATGTTGGCCCAATTAAACGGTAATTCCAAAAATTGCACCGACATTTATCAATCTAAAGTTGAATAATTCTGTTCAGATTGAGTAGGAATGCCAAAAATTAATACAAATTCAATCTAAACAAAATTACTCAACTTTAGATTGCAGTGTACTTTTACAAGAATGTCACGCGCCATTTTAGAAATAATGTATAAATACAATATTGAATCATTTTAGCCGCAAAATGAATTTCTTTCGCGGGAAAGCAGAATAACTTATGAGCAGTCCTTTATCGCCTGCGCAATGCGAATACGTGTGCGACAGTATATAAAAGTATGCTTTTGAAATACATAATGCGAAATATCACGTTTGTCTAGCTCGCTTTTTCTCTCTCTCTCTCTCTCTCTCTCTCTTTTTCTATCTTTCTTTCTCTTTTTATCTCACTCTCCCGTCATCTCGTTCATTCATTCCCTTATGCTCTATTGTATGTATATACTTAAAGCGCACTTTAAGCGACCTATATCTTGTGACAGAATTCAGGACAAAGCTTTTTATGCCGTGCAATACGCAAAATATGTTTGAAGACTCAAAATATATGCGTATATAGAATACATATATAAATCGAGATAGACGGGACATTTTTAATGTAAGCTCGACAGAGAGTGTCTCTCGAATCTCTTCTTTTTTTGTCACGTATTTAAGATCGCCTAAAGTGGACGCAATAATAATGTATTGATAAAGATTCCATTTATATATACCTATACATAATTATATGTATATATATACCTCTCTTTAACATGTAATATTGTACATCATGCGCATTACGATATATACGGGTATCTACAGATATTATACAAAAAAACGCGGGGCATTTTCTTCACTCTCAAGTGAGAATTAACTATTTTATTTATCGACTTACGATGCACACGCGCGTTCGTATACCTCCTGTGAATGCACACCCGTGCCCCGTGTGCGCACACGATTGCCACTGGGGATGCGTAAAATGCGTGGACGTACGCGGTCCACGCGGAGTGCTCGAATATAATATATATATATATTTATATATATTTATGTATATATTTATACGTGCCGTCTCTCTCGCGCGCGACGCGCGCGACGCGTACATTCATTAATTTATATTTATTTTCACGTATAGTATCACAAGTTTTGCTCATCCGACACCGCTCTCACTTTTTCGCTGACACTGCTTTTCGAAGCTTACGCCGCTCCCTTGCCGCAACAGCGCGCGCCCTTCTCAACGGGGCGCGCTCGTCTTTAATATTAATCGAGGATTTTCAAGTACCGATCGGTTCATCGCCGCGAGGCTCGTGCAATCGTGATAAGTATCGTATAGTGAATTGCTCGCGATTTTCTATTACCCTTGAGCGATTCACTTTTGATGGTATTAGATATGAGATGTGTGTTGTATATTGAAAACTCAAATCCTTCCACGTTGGAACAAAGTTTGCGAAAAGAAAAACCATTATACATCGATTTAATTATTTTATTATTCTCTTGTGAAAGTATTTCATTAAATTTGATAGTTGAAAGTGCGAAGTTGAGAAAAGAAAAGAAATATATGGAACAAATATAACAGATCTAATAAGACAAGTGCTGACATCGACATGTGAGATTTTCACGAGACACTAAATCGAATTTACCGTTCTTGACAAAAAATAATTTTACAATTTTGTTATATCTCGTAATAAGAAGTCGATATTGTCAATAATCCGCGTGTTATGTACTATAATGCGTAATTACAGGGCAATAAGTGCATAAAAATCAAGATTTATTAATGATTGATTTGATTATTTAATAGAGTCGTCACACCAACATAAATGATAATTCCGAAAAAATTTTGCAACACGTATTATATTAGTATATAATATCTTCATTTTGAAATCATTTTTATTCCGACGGTCTTGTTCGACAAATTTGTAAGATTGTCAGTGAAGACAATATCGTAGTTGACGAATAGTTAATAATAATTATCGTCGATTACATGACTTAGTAAGGCATAAAATATTTTTGACTTTTACCGTAAAGGGAAACAAACGACAGTTTATAACGAGAAGTCGACGCTATTTGCAATTTATCAAATCGTATTAATAGCGAAGAAAATAGATAATTTTCAAACATATAGATCTTATAGAGAAAACGTATTTAATTCGGATAATAAAAAACACTAGTCTTTGCATAACGATATATAATCATTGATTGTGTCATGTTAATTGACTTATCCGTAGTTGTCTTACACCTCTGTCTTTGTTTTCTTTTTTTTTTTCGTCGTGTTTTCTTATTTTTCACATATAGAATCTCGCTCTTCTTATATGAAACGCTGCCGGTCATTTAATACAAATAACTCATATATGTATTTTATTAGAGATACATATATAGAATTTCATTTGAAAAATTGATTTTATATATAAATTCTATTAAAAAATTATAATAAAATCATGTATATATAAGAAATAAGAAGGCGCGTATATGTGAGAAGAAAAACAATATAATTATGAATTTTATAATTATTACGACGAGTCAAATTGGACGATTGTAATGAAAAAAACAAATCAAATTTAAAACGCAACAAGATGAAGACTCAAAATTAAATTTTAATTAATGCGATTTTATAAAATATATATTTTTTATCTTCTTTTGGTGTGTTTCTCTCCAGTTTTGTTTTTATTAATTTTGTTGAAACGAGACCATCGCGAATTCGATTCGAAGATAATCGTCCGTAAATACTCGTGTGTGTATGTGCGTGTGTGTGTGCTGAGTTATTGCGTTATCTTTCGGTGTGATGATGTGCAAGAAATAGAGCATATCGACGAGATGCATTGCGTCTAATCGCCTATAAGAGTATGTCGATGTCACTCGAGCGTATATCGTGAAAAACTCTCGTGCGATATAGCGAACGGTATGATGATATCGAACTGTTCAGCTTTGATAAACGCGAGAATGCAGGATGATTCAGTGCCCTCGGTTATTCAAAAACTTCTCCCGAGCACCCCGATGCAGAACAGATAAAATTCAATGAGTGGGTTATGATGAAACAAAGATAACCCCGGAAAAAAGTTACAGCGAGGCATTCAGAAATAGAAGAAAAGAATTCGAGTCGCGTTACGCTTTCCCGAGACACTTTCGTAATAGCTGCAAAATGCTCCTGCGAATGGGATCAAATTTTATGAATGCAATTTTATGAATGCCGTATATTTTGATGATCACTTAAACGTATTATATACGTAGTTTATTTACGACTTCTCTCGCGTTATACGTATTTTACGTCAAAAAAATATATAAATAGAACTCTTACGAATTAAAGATGTCGTCTAAAGTGGGTTTTAATCTCCTCTATCACGACTGTTGTTTGCAATTGTACTTGAAACGATGCTTACGAAGTCATTGTCAGTTTAAGTGACAACATACAGTAACGGACATAAGTTTAAGCAAGTAGTAATAGTAAATAGATCGTACGCATGTAAATATTATTTCCCTGTCTGCTGTATATGTGACCTCCTTAGTTTCGGGCGCATTTAAGTATGTAAATATTCACAAATATTTATTTAAGCATCATATTCTCATTTATTATTAATATTCTAGAAATAAAAAATGCTTTGCAAAAAATGCAACAAAGGATAAACTTAAGAGTATAATAAATTTTATGTTATACATAACTTTAGTCAATGACAATATAAATGTATAAAAATATAAACTGATATAAAATACAAATGCAAGCTATATTCGATTCGCATATACACTGCATATTCATGTAAAGAATCTATATTCGTCAGTTATTGTGTAACATAAAAAATTCTATTTTTAGTAGTCATATAATTGATTATTCTATTTCTTTACATTTCTTAAACTTTTGTTACCGCTACTGTAATTTACGGGAAATTTATTTGCCAGTTGTAATTAACTATTATACAATGATCGAAGCATCGAAAATACGATTGATTTAAATGAAAGAATATCTATAAGGAGAAAGATCATATATATAGAGAGTATAGACTATAAAAGTAGACTGAATATAATACAAATTCTTTATAAAGAAAATAATTTAGAGAATATTTTAAGATTCTGACACAAATAATTTACACAATGTGCGTCAAAGTAGTAATAACAGTCGCTATTATATTACATATATATTACATATATTTTACATATAATAGCGATATATTACAATCAGTAAATATAATCTCTGAAATAGTATTCGCGTTTGCCCAGCATCGCGTGCAATAACGTAACATAAGAGAAAAAAATCGATCCTCGCGACGATGAACCGTATAATAATGAAACGAAATATCCCGAACAGCCTACCTCTCGACAACATTTACCGTCTGTAGACGACATTCTCCTCGTCCTCGTCCTCGTCGTCGTATTCGTCGTCGTCGTCGGGCGGCCAACAGACCACGGCGTCAACAACATCGTCGTCATTGTTAGAACGACGCGCGCGTCGACGTGGCTGTGCTCGCGGCGGTGAGGAGAAAGTCGACGAGGTCGCGGGCGACGTCGGCGCCGCGTTCGTCACGGACGCCGTGCCGATCGCAGGCAGATTCGGCACCGGGGTCGTTGGTATCGGTGCGGCGGCGGTCGCGACGTAAGCCGCGGCAGCAGCGACTCAGGCCAAAGCGTAAGGGTGGGTAGCGTGATGTCACAAGCCCGGCGCCGCGGTAGCGACGGCGGGCGGCGGAGGAGCGCTCGTGGTGGCCACGCTCGTCGCGTGATGATAAAGCGGGCTCTGATAGTACTCCTGATGATGATGATTTGTCATGTGCATCGGCCCGGCGGCGTTCGTGCCGGCGTGCATGCCGTTGTGATGATGGTGGCTGGGCGGCGCCGAGTGCGCGTGCGGATGATGCGGCGAGCCGAAGTTGGCGTAGCTCTGGTGCAGCTGCTCGTACATCTTCATCTCGGGTGGCTTGGTGTCCTGGGCGCCGGGAGAAGTGCCGGCCGTGTCGCGCGGCAATAACCTGTTGATGCTAAACGGATGATTGGACGCTCCGTAAAGCGGCTCCTGCTTCAGGCTGCCCGTCATGCCGTGGTGCAGGCTCGTGTCGGACAGCAGTTGCGGATGGATGCCGCGGCTGACCATTGCGGTGAGCTCGTCGTGTGCAGCGCTGAGATCGGGCCCGAGGAGACCGCCGATGTCTGTGGTGTCGCTTTTCAGAGCTGTGTGATGCTGGTGCAGACTCGTGTGATGATGATGGTGCGAAGACACCAACGAATGCAAATCTTTGTCGTCCTGCTGCTGAGGGCCACCATGGTGGATGGACGAACCGGTCTTCTTGGAGCCAGGCGCGACGTCGTGAGTGGGTGGACTGTGCTGGCCGGCGATGGTCGCGCCAGACGCCACTGCCACCGCAGTCGCCGTCTGATGTTGCTGATGCTGCTGATGCTTGTTGGTCTGTCTGGTTATCTCTTTCTTCTCGTCCTTGAACCTCTTTTGGCGTCGCAAATAACAACCGTTCTCAAACATATTGCCGCTGTCAGGGTGCAGCGTCCAAAATGATCCTTTGCCGGGCTTGTCTGGCGTACGCGGCACCTTGACGAAGCAATCATTGAAACTCAAGGAATGCCTAATAGAGTTTTGCCAGCGTTGTTGATTCTGTCTGTAAAACGGGAACAGATCCATGATAAATTGATAGATCTCCGAGAGGGTCAACATCTTGTGAGGCGCGTTCTGTATTGCCATAGTGATCAGGCTGATGTAGGAGTACGGCGGCTTCGCGTGAGTGTAACTACGCCGATAGGACTTGTCGCTGCGAGCACGCTGGAGAGCTGAATTCGGCGAGTCCGGTTCCGTTAGAGCGAGGGGATCCCGGCTGACGCCGGTACCGCCGCCGGGAGTCAGCGGACCGTACCCGACGGCACTCATACAGGCACCGCCGGCGCCCATGGAAGCACTGCTGTAACCGCTCATACCGCCGCCTCCCATCGACGCCATTCCCATTGCCGAGCTCATGGTACTCATGTTGAAACCACCGGCACTCTGGGGACTGCAACTGGGCCCGACCCCGACTCCCATCGACATGCCCATCGGCACGCAGCCCATCGAATTTATCGAGCTGTACGTGGGCGCCATGCTGCCCATACTGGACATCGCGGCGCTGGTCATGGCACCCGCATCGCCGTATAGCTTTTGCGACTGAAGCATGGTCATAGAGCTCACCGGTGCCGGGGTGGCCTGCTGTCGCGTCGTCGCTGTCAAACGGGAATCATGAAATCCGCGGTACCACGGCTGCTGGCAGTCGGGTATTCCCTTAATCTTCCCTTAATCTTTCTCACCGGATAAAACTGAAGTCGGTCCGCGCCGTTCAGCTCACTATAATCAAGGGCTACGAATTCTCTAATTAGTCTTCTAGAGTATAGCTGCCGAGTCACACAAGTCACAAGAGAGGATCCTCGTACGCACAGAAGACTCACGAGAAGATGCGCGGCGATCGCCTGGAGGAATCGTCTCGCACTTAAAGAAAGAAGAAATTTACCAGAAAGAAGAACTTCACCAAATATTCTTTCCCGGAGCAGTGATGCACTGAACGGCACTGTGTCGATGGAACTCTCGTCACAACCGCGGAGCAGAACCGAGAACGCTATTCTTTTTCCGCGCGAGAAGGCAAAGTTACGAGCGTATCCTTACCGGATCTCCGAAGGGCGCCGCACTGCGTCAACGGAGCGACGAGAACGAAGGGCAACTGGTGAACTTTGTGTTCACCTCTTGTTCCTCTTCTTCCCGAAAACACAATGCACAGTCCGTTTATTCGCGGGAAGATGCGCATTCGACGCGCGAAGCGGATGAGAAGAGTCGCGAGCGCGAAAGTGAGTACCCCCCGCGGGAAGAGATAGGGGGTAATTGTTACCCCAACACCATGGAGGGCACGGCGAACGCAAAGGCCGACGACAGGGAAAGAGGGCCCAGGCTCTCGCTCGCGTGTTGTACGACGTGGACGAGTGCGCGAAACAACACCAACCACTATACGGTGACGGCAGCTCGTCGGTCGCGCGCGCGGTCGGTTATTTGATCGAGCGGGGCCGCTGTTTGAGCCGCCTCACCACCTCTCACCACACACTCCGCCTCGCGTACCGACGAGTCTCTCTCTCCTCTCTCTGTGTGCCGTGTTGTGGATGGAGGCCGGTTAGCGAGTGTACTCCGCTCTTGAGTCGACGGCTCTTGTTCAAATATACCCCACTATACGGCCGTGGGAGCCGCGCCCGACGTCGCCGGGTCGGCCAATCGCGGGGCACTCGTACTTCCGCTCGTGTGTCGGCGGACCAATCTGGCGAGAGCACCAACGCGGCCGGCAGTCCTCCCGATCCGCTCTATGAATCGCACGTCGTTGGAATCGTGCGTGGCGCGCCGCAGCCTTTTCCCCTCCGACGCCGTACACGACGGCGGAGCGAGCGCGTGATACGCGCATGCACCATGGCCCGCGCGCGCGAGATCCGAGCCTCGCGGAGCGGAACTGGCTTGCGCAATTCCACACGAGACGCCCGGTTCCACGACGTTGCCGCGCGCCGTGACGCGCCGCGCCGCGCCGCGCCGCGTCGTGCCGCGCCGCGCCGTGCCGAATCAAGCCGGGGCTGCGCTGCGACGGCCGCATCGCGGGCGGCACGGGCTCGGCCGCTCCTCTTCTCATGTCATGTTGTCGTCTGCCACGCGTTTGATAACCGGCACCTTCCGTCCGTGCGTGACGCGCCCTTACTCGCGTCTTTTCCCGCGAGCACCTTTCGCCGACGTATTTTCGTTTCACACGATCAATCGTTACACTCGCGTTTCATCTTCTTTCTTCTCATTTATCGCGAATCGACGTTATCTTACAATAATGCATGAATTGGAGTTGAAACGTTGACTGGTTGACGGTTCAATGTCTTTTCGTTTATTTGCAAGTGAGTCTGAACGTGAACGAGGTGAACTATTTACGATATGTATGTGTCCGATGGAGATCGCGAAGAAGACATCGGTTGATCCACGTGGGTCGCCATGGAATCATCACGATCGAAAATTTGGAATACAACGTGAGAAAAAACATAAGTATAATATGTGGTTTGCATACCGTAGTTATATATTGCTGTTGTCAGTTGTCTTACGACTACCTTTTCTTGTTCATTTGTCGCACTGCTCTTATTATATTGTAAATTTTATATCGTCGGATTTAATATTATCCTAGACTGTACATATTATATAAATACTTAATAAGTTTTATGTACATATATCAAATGAAAATCATATACTCTTCGACATCTTTATTTTGATATGTACAACTATACGAGAGAGCTAAATAAGTGCTTACAGAAACTGCTATCAAAAAACTTTGAATAATATTTGATCCTTCTTAATAACAACAATCAAACTTTTTACATAAATATTTGTACACGCTGACGATAATACACCTTTCGCATTTTGCATGAGTAAATTTGCCATCAGTGATTATTATTTATTAGATTAAAAAATAGGATGCGGATTATTGATTCGCGTGTGAGATTTACGGATTAAGATCTCTGATGCATCGTTATCCACTTTCATCTTTTCTAATAATAACTAAATTTTTATAGTTCTCTTTCTCTCGCTCGATCACGCAATCTGAATATAGTAAATAAGCCTCGGTAAGTGAATTTTTAAGATTGAATGTATCGTTCTCACGCAGATTATACACGGCTTTGATGTAGAAATGATTTTTACTTCTATCGCGAAAACTCTTACAATTAAATGCATTACGCGTTACGCGACTTGCTTTACTCGCTCGCCGTAAGTTCGCTCATTCATGGCTCATATACCATTTGACATTATTGTCAAATGTCTCTTTTACATATAAAAGGCTCTACTCGCCATTTAATATGCCGTGATGTGAATTGGAAATTTTCTAACTCCGTTTATTTCGAGTGGACGTCTTTCAATTCCTCTGTCACCTTACGAAGCGCGGTGCATATACTTTGCTATAGATAAAAAGTACGGGGTCTAGATATTTTATAGTAGAGAGAAATGAAAAAAAAAACGCTCTATGTTAAGATATACCTGTGTGTCTGCCCACATTCTCCACCCACGGTCTCATTTGAATTTTCATTGGCGTCGTCGAAATTTTCTCCGCGCATTATTCGCACGAGGTTACCTTTTACTTTGCGTAAATGCCGCGGCGTGTCATTTACTGTCTATACACGCAATAAGTGTCTTGGAATATTAATAGCTAATCAGTCCTAGCAGCTGTTTTTTCTAGTCTTCAAAAGGTATCTTTGCCCTTCTCACGTGAACAAAGAATATGTCAACGCCTGAGAATGCGTGTTCCGATAACTTTTTGTCATAAATACCTTAAACGCATTTACTTAAGTAACTACAACCTAGATAAGATTAATTTCTAACGGAACGGAAATGTTAGTCTAAGAATGAATAGTCACGTCTCAAGTTCTCTGCAGTGTTGACAGAAAATTAAAATTAATTCTCGAGATTATTCTCAAGATTATCGTACGAAAATCAATTTTTATTGTAATTGTTAAATTAGTGTGAATATATTTCTCTGAGTTTACATCGCAAATACATCAAATATAGAAATTGTATTTGTATAAATTATCTTAAACTCTTCTTAATCAATATATATAACACAATATTAAAATAACATCAATAAATCTGTGGAATTATTAGCGATAAAACGAAATACAAAGTTGTAAACCAAAACAAAGACTGAAAATTTATTCTAATTTACAAATCCTTTAAATGACGTTAAAGCAATGCAGATTAATTTATTTATTAAAATTTGACACTAACAAAAATATTTGTATCTAAAAATTAGAAAAATCTTCTTTAAAATACAACTTTATATATATAGTATGTTATATATAAAGGATTAAAGCGCAAAGTTATTGCGCTTTTTAAATCTTCACTACAATCATTTTTTCTAAAATAGAAGATAATAAAAAAAGGTCAATGTGAACTTATTGCTTTTTATATATCTAAAAAGGTAGGCTAAAAACGCATTGTGTATCATATAGAAATAAATTTTAATGCTTTCTTTATTCTCTTAAATATTTATTGTAAAACTTATCTGGGTCTAAATGTTTCGTTATGAATGCTATTGCGCTATTGTTGAATTTACGTCCATTTACATAGCGTACGAAAATAATAAGCTTATCGTATCTAGGTAGCCTAATCTAATCCAGATTCTAACGTCTCTGATTAAAACTAAACTCGCTAAACAAATTACAAAATTCATAAATATCGAAAAATTGCAATTATTAGTATTGAAAAAATTGAAAATAACAGAATTTTATAACGATGTATTCATCCCTGTAAAAAGATGCAAAAAATGTTGAAAAATTTATGCGGCCTATAACGTCGTTCTAAGAGCTGAAAAACGTTTATGACAGCGAATAGCCTCGTCGTTTTACTGATCGATCCCGTCGGCGTCCTCCGACATGGCGTCCATTAGCCGACGGGTAGTAATTGACAGCATGTAACAGTTGTGCTAAATAATATATTTTTACGTTTTTTTTTTACTATCAATATTCTTACAGTTATAGAATTATTAGAATTAAAATTGCACAGTATAACGCACGAGAAGTGATTTCGACATGTTGTCAGAATTAACCACAACGTATTACGGACGAAAAATTCAAAATAATGATAAAAGAAAGAATATAAAATTGTTTCACATATTTCAAATATTTATTTTCGAGAAAGTGCAACACATGGAAAAGATTTATTGCATTATGTTCTTCCCAACCAAGTCTTGAAGATCACCTTAATGGATCTCGATAAGGTTTTACGATCGTATACCTGGTACGATACCTGCATATATTGTATACTTTATACCTGATTTTTTTTTGTGAGTGAACCCGTTATATTGAGGACTGACAAAGAGTTTGCCGATGACGTGATTGTGGTCGTTGAAACCATTCTGTTGATACCAAATTTCAGCGCCCAATATGTGTTCATCATATCCGCATTCATCGATAAGTGTATTTCTATTTCTGTCAGAAACTTTCTATTTGCATTGAGAGCAAAATTTTCCGTAAAACCATAAAACAGGTTTTTGTAAGCAAGAAATGTTATCGTCGCAAAGAGGACGAATTGACTGTATGTTTAAACGGATGTGCAACGAAGACACAACGTGCACGTGCACGAAAATAATACTTGCGTTTATTGAATAGGAAAATATTTGGAAAAATATTGAAGACACTCTGTTAACGATACACAAAAGTTAGTGAATGTGTATGTGGGTCAATGTTTGTATCAGTGAATGTACACACTATACCAGCCAGACACGGTCTCGGTGAGATAATGTCGATGAAAGCATTGTCTGCGAAATCTTTATCGATAATCTCAATGTAAACCCCGTTTGGTCATCTTTTTCGCATTAGCATATAATGTATCTTTAAATTATTCAATTTTTTTTTCTCTACATAAGTTATAGAAAAGAACGACTTCCTATAAAAATGCCATAAAGATTATAATTTCCTATAGAGAATTGTTTTAATGAAATACAATGAAAGGATTGATTTATTAAATTTAAATCCGTAATTCGATTTCGGCACACAGCATTATGAACTAACAGGTAACATCCCCTATTACAACTTCATATTAGCCGCAGACCATAATATTCTAAAGAGATCATTGTTTCTACTCTTGCGGTTACTCGATCGTAAAGTGGTGTAAGATTGTCTCAGAGGGAGATGTTTCTGAAGCTGTTTTGTTTCTTTCCTGATCATTCAAGAGAAAGAGGAAAAAAAAGAGAAAAGAAGAAAAAGGAAATATTAACTTAAGAAATTAGCTATTTTATAAGAAAAATAAAATATAGCTAAATACTTTATTTTACGCAATGTTTTTTTGCACTTTCTAAGGTCTATATACCTAACTATAAAGGATTTCAAACTCTCTTATGGGCTCGACTTGTTTTTCGGATGTGTTCCTTTAATTTATTTAATGAAAAATATACATATTTTTATTTAATAAATTATTTATAACGTGATTTTAAACACTTAAAAATTTCTGAAATATTATCTTTGCCATTGGCTTAATATAAAAGATATACATCCAGATTGTGTTTCAAGACAACCCGAAAATTTTTCCTATATTATCGTTTGAAATTTGTTATTCGAAAATTCTTCAAATGTCATTTATAAAATCGTGT